TTGTGAGCAATGGAATTAAACATTTTAAAAATAAGCTTTATTTCTCAGGATAAACCTCATCAAAGTCAACGTATTTTTGTAAACATGATACCAGACATTTAGTCCATCTCTAAGAAAATGAGTGTCCTGGGACTTTACCCATGTCACTGCAGCCTTTTTTACATTATTAATTGAAGAAAAATAGATGCCCTTTACACATTTTTTAAAGATTAGAAAAAAGAAAGAAGTCAGAAGGAGGCAAATCAGAACTGTAAGGTGGATGCCTAATGATTTCCTATTGAAACTATCAAAATTACTTCTCATTTCATGAGAAGAATAAGCAGGAGCATTGTCATGGTGGAGGAGTACTCTCTGGTGAAACGTTCCTGAGCATTTTTTTGCTAAAGCTTTGGCTAACTTTCTTAAAATACTCCAATAAGAGGGACATGTTATCCTTCTTTGGCCCTTTAGAAAGTCAATAAGAAAAATGTCTTGAGCATCCCCCAAAAAACTTTTTTCATGACTGTATTAGTCCATTTTCATGCTGCTGTTAAGGACATAACTGAGACTAGGCAATTTACAAAAGAAAAAGGTTTATTGGCTGGGGAGGCCTCACAATCATGGCAGAAGACAAGGAGGAGCAACTCACATCTTATGTGGATGGTAGAAGGCAAAAGAGAGATTGTGCAGAGAAACTCTCACTTTTAAAACCATCAGACCTTGTGAGACCCATTCATTATCACAAGAACAGCACGAGAAAGAACCACCCCCATGATTCAGTCATCTCCTACCAGGTCCCTCCTACATGTGGGAATTATGGGAGCTACAAGATGAGATTTGGGTGAGGACACAAAGCCAAACCTTATCATTCCACCACTGGCCCCTCCCAAGACTCATATCTTCACATTTCAAAACCAACTGGGTCTTCCCAGTAGTCCCCCAAAGTCTCAACTCATTTGAGCATTAACTCAAAAGTCCGCAGTCCAGAGATTCATCTGAGACAAGGCAAGTCCTTTTCACCTATGAGCCTGTAAAGTCAAAAGCAATTTAGTTACTTCTTAGATACAATGGGGCTACAGGCATTGGGTAAATATAGCCATTCCAAATGGGAAAAATTGGCCAAAACCAAGGGGCTACAGTCCTCTTACAAGTCCAAAATCTAGCAGGGCAGTCAAATTTTAAAGCTCTGAAATGATCTTCTTTGATTCCATGTCTCACATCCAAGAGGTGGGCCCCCATGGTCTTGGGCAGCTCCACCACGGTGTCTGCGCAGGGTACAGCCTCCCTCCTGGCTGCCTTCATGGGCTGGCATTGAGTGTCTGCAGCTTTTCCAGGCACACAGTGCAAGCTGTGAGTCGATCTACCATTTTGAGGTCTAGAGACAGTAGCCCTTTGCTCACGGCTCCACTAGGCGGTGCCCCAGTATGTAGGGACTCTGTGGCGCGTCTCCCACCCACATTTCCTTTCTGTATTGCCCTAGCAGAGGTTCTCCATGAGGACCTTGCCCCAAAGCAAACTTCTGCCTGGGCATTCAGATGTTTCCCTGCATCTTCTGAAATCTAGATGGAGGTTCCCAAACCTTAATTCTTCTTTGCACCCACAGGCTCAACACCACATGGAAGCTGCCAAGGCTTGGGGATTCCACCCTCTGAAGCAATAGCTGGAGCTGTACCTTGGCTCCTTTTGGTCATGGCTGGAGCAGCTGGAACATAGGGCACCAAGTCCCTAGACTACGCACAATAGAGAGACCCTTAGTCCAGCCCACAAAACGATATTTTCTTCGTAGGCCTCCAGGCCTGAAATTCAAGGGGCTGCCATGAAGCCCTCTGCCATGCCTTGGAGATATTTTCTGTTTTATCTTGGGGGACTAACATTTGGCATCTAGTTACTTATGCAAATATCTGCAGTGGGCTTGAATTTATCCTTAGAAAATGTGATTTTCTTTTCTATCACATTGTGAGGCTGCAAATTTTCTAAACTTTTATGCTCTGCTTCCCTTATAAAACTGAATGCCTTTAACAGCACCCAACTCTCATCTTGTGTGCTTTGCTGCTTAAAAATTTCTTCTGCCAGATACCCTAAATCATCTTCCTCAGCTATAAAGTTCTACAATTCTGTAGGGCAGCAGCAAAATATTGCCAGTCTCTTTCTTAGAACATAACAAGAGTCACGTTTGCTCCATTTCCCAGCAAGTTCCTCATCTCCTTCTTAGACCACCTCAGCCCAGAATTCATTGTCCATATAATTATCAGCATTTTAGTCAAAGCCATTCAAAAAGTTTCTAGGGAGTTCCAAACTTTCCCACATTTTCCTATCTTCTTCTGAGCCCTCCAAACTGCTCCAGCCTCTGCCTGTTACCCAGCTCCAAAGTTACTTACGCATTTTTGGATATATTTTCAGCAGCGTCACCTCTGCTGGTACCAATTTACTGTATTAATCTGTTTTCATGATGCTGATAAAGGCATACCCAAGACTAGGCAATTTACAAAAGAAAGAGGTTTATTGGACTTATAGTTCCACATGGCTGGGGAGGCCTCACAATCATGGTGGAAGGCAAGGAAGAGCAGTCATGTCTTACGTGGATGGCAGTAGGCAAAGAAAGCTTATGCAGGGCAACTCCTGTTTTTTAAACCTTCAGATCTCGTGAGAACCATTCACTATCACAAGAACAGCACGGGAAAAGCCCGTTCCGTGATTCAGTCATCTCCCACTGGGTCCCTCCCACAATACATAGGAATTGTGGGAGTTACAAGATGAGATTTGAGTGGGGGCACAGAGCCAAACCATATCAATGATGTTTGATTTTAACTGGTCCACTTTTGATCTGACTGGACCACATCCACCTCTTAATAGCCATTGTTTTGATTGTACTTTGTCTTCAATATCATACTAGTGGAGCTATGTTTCATCTCCTGTTACAAGTCTTCAAAGACATACTTAAAGATCTTCATCTTATTTGTTTAAAATTTCAATTGAAATCTCTCTTCTAGTCTACCGCTGATCTGGGCACAACAGTTTTGATAGCCCCTGATTGGAAAGTTTGCTCAACTTTAATTTTCCATTCAGAGTTGTGTAACCTGAACCAGTTGAAATGTCTGTGGTACTGGCTATTGTTTTTACTATTAATTATTGGTCCTCTTCAATTAGGGCATGAATATGATTAAATTTCCCCTTGTAAACTGATGTGGATGGTCAGCCACTAAGGACTTCATCTTCAACATAGTCTTGTCCCTTAAGACAAGTTATTTCACTTGTAAACTGTGAATTTCTTTTGAGCATTGTTCCAATAAATTTTTATAAAGCTTCCAATAAATTTTGTGATTTTTACCATTCTTACACCCAAGCTTCACTATAAATTTGATATTTGTTCTTGCTTCAATTTTAGCAGAATTCATGTTGCTCTGATAAGGGCTGTTTTCAAACAGGTGTCTTATTCTTCGTAGTAACAAAATAGTTTCTGTACAGACATGTCATGATGAGTGAAATTCATCCATAGTTTTTAAATAAAACACAGTTTATGTGAACTTTTTGAAGAACTCCTGTATGTAGTAGTTTGTTTTAATTTTATCAATATTAGATTTTTGTTGTCATGTTAATTTTTGAAAATATTTTATGCTCTTTCACAACTTGAACTTTAAATCAAACTGATATATGACTTTATTCTCAATTAGTTAAAATAAATGCCTGAAATCTTTAAAAACACTTTCTTGTTATTTAAAATGTTACTGTATTATTCTTTTACCGTCACCATTGAAACTCTAGAAGGAAAAAAGAAGTCCCTACCATTTAACAACTGAAAAAATTAGAATGTCAAAATTGAAAGGACATTGTTATTTCTTCATTCATTAAGCTGTCCTTCACTAATGAAGTCAGTCTTTGATTAAACACACACACACACACACACACACACACAAACACACACACACACACTCTTTTATGTCTATAAAGTACAAATGTTTCCTGGCAGTATTTTAAACCTTCTTATTTCTAGTTAAAAAAAATAATTTGAGACTTAGCTGATTGTTTCTTTAGAAATTGTTACAAGATGGAAAATGTAGCAAAATGAGTAATTCTAAAGCTTCATTAAAAATTCCAAATAAAGATAGCACACTTAGGATAAAAAAATTTCTTGAACTTTTAAAGTACAGATTCAAAAATGAATATTATCCTATAATAGACAGCAAACTAAAACTCACATTGTTTTATAAATAACATTTTCTAGTAGTTATACGTAATTGGAAAGTTTTAAAAGAGAATGAAAGCTTATATTGGGGAGGTCATGAAGATAGTAAAATAAGAAAGGAACTGGAAGAAAGGTGATATTCAAATCACTTGTTTCGGGAATCATCAGCCAACAACAATCAATCCAATATTTATCAAGCAAAAAAGTTGATTTAATGTAAAGTAGTTAACAACTTACTTAAAAACAAGATAACTTAGTTTTATTAATCACATATTTATAAATTTAAGAAAATTGTGGAGTATTTTGCTCAAAGTGTCATTTTTTTCTGAAACACTACAGCTAATTAGAATATCATTCAGAAGGTGAGAGAGAGTTATTAAGAAGCTCATGTAGAGTGTTGATACAAAAGGTTAAGAATTTCTCTGCTTCTCAGTAATCTCTATCATTTCCTCACAAATCTCCCTAATCAAATTATTTATAATGTTGATCATAATTTTGTATCAATATCTTATATAAAGAACAAATAAGTGTATATTTAGAAAATACACGCTTTTTTTCTGTTCACCTGTAACATAAAATCTAAGTAAAAGCAGTGTTGAAGAGTAGTCATCTTGACTTCCTTGCCTTACAATGAGGTTTGTCATGAAGCCATCAAATACAAAGAAATCATGACACAATCGCTCTGAATATTCCAAAGGAAAGAAGGGCCTGGGCTTGAAAGAGGTAGGAAAGAGTCACATATGAGCCATCCAGAAAACATATGCTATGTTAATAATGTGAAACCTAAGTATTGAATATTTATTTCAACCTAAATTGTATGTTCTTTCTGACTCCACAGATTTCAGCTGTGTTCGTTATTATGGAGATTCCTATCTAGAATTTCAGAACGTGCTTTTAAATCCACAAAATAACATCTCCCTAGAATTTCAGACCTTCAGCTCCTATGGACTCCTGCTCTATTTCAAGCAAGACTCAAATTTTGTAGATGGATTTTTTATTCAATTGTTTATTGAAAATGGTACTTTAAAGGTAAGTTATTCAGTTCATTTAATTTTTAAAAATTTACAAAGCTGTTCTAATCCCGTGCTTTATTGGTTATTTTCAAAACAAAATTTAAACTTAACTCTGTATTTTATACTCATCACCAGGACGTCACTTCTTCTTCTTTTATAATTTCTACTTTCACATATACATATATACATACATACATACATATGTGTGTGTGTGTGTGTGTGTGTATATATATATGAACCAACAATAATCAAGTATTTTTCACTCAAAAAATGATTTAATAATAATATAAAGTGATTTGCAACTTATTCAAAAAATAAGCTAACTGGGTTTCATTAATCACATTTATAAATTTTAAACATTTACTTGTCAGAGTATTTTGCTCAAAATATCTCTGTTTCTTCTGAAAAATATACCTAATTAGAATACCATTCAGAAGGCAAAATAGAGTTAAGAAACTCATATAATATAGGGAGAAAAATTTACACTCCTACAGATAGATTAGTTTATAGATATTTAGATATTTATATTTCAAACACTACATGATTTGAATTAACACTTACTGTCTCTTTTTTCTCTCCTTATTTTTAACTTTTCTTCTACTTTTTTATTGGCCAGTTTCTCAATTTCTCAATTTCCTAATGACAATAATTGTTACTGTTTCTATAACCTTAAGGGCAGGTGCAGCCTGGGAACACATAGGCAATCCCAAGATTTTTTTAGAGGGTCCTGAAGAGAAAACCTCTTTTCATAAGTTTTCTCTGTAGGCAAGAGGTGTTATTTGCCTTTTTCATTTTTACTCTCGTAAGCATATAGTAGAGTTTTCCAGAGGCTACATGACATACAATAAAGTCCTTGCTCTAATCACTAATGTATCATTTTATTATGTATTTTTGTATTTTCAAAATGTCTGTTGTAATTTTTAGCATTGTAAATATTTTTTAATTTTACTTTTATTTATTATGCTTTAAGTTCTCGGGTACACATGCAGATTGTGCAGGATTGTTACATAGGTATACACATGCCATTGTGGTTTGCTGCATCTATCACCCCATCATCTACATTAGGTATTTCTCATAATGTTATCCCTCCCCAATCCCTCTACCCCCTGCTATCCCTTCCCAACCCCCACACCCCCCAACAGGCCCCACTGTGTGATGTTCCCCTCCCTGTGTCCATGTGTTCTCATTGTTCAACACCCACTTATGAGTGAGAACATGCGGTGTTTTGTTTTCTGTTCTTGTGGCAGTTTACTGAGAATGATGGTTTCCAGCCTCAGACACAACCCAATTAACAAAAACTCTTTGGAGTTGTCAATAATTGTTAAGAATGCAAAGGGACTATCATATCAAAAAGGATGACATTGTGGACTTTGCACTTGGTGAGCGTTATAATAAGCTTCTTTCAAAAGTCCAAGATTATGCAGCTAATAACATTTTGAAGTCAACTTTGATTTGAAGCCAAGCTTTCCCAACATCATTCCATCTTAACAAATTGATTCATATTCCCGATCTGAATACATGGTTTAGGGAAGTCATCCCAATCATTGTTGCAGAAAGTTTTTTAACACAGCACAAAAAGTTAATTAACTCATATAATTCTAATATATGAAACATAATAACTGTATTTGGTCTACCATTTCTTTTATGATGTGATTGAAGTGTACACATTGTGAATTTCCATGAAAAGATGAGTTACACCTTTTTATTTAAATAGGCAAATTCCCTTACTTTGATTTTCTTTAAATGCTCATGTTTCTTAAGTAATAAAATAAATACACAGCATTTAACACAATTCATGTCATAAATAAATGCCAACCAAACATAGCACAGAATTATATGCAGAAATGCATTTATTCATTCAGGTATTTGTTTACTCATTCATTGAACAAATATCTACCATCAGTCACTATTCTAGGATCTAAGGATTCAGTGGCAGACAAGACCCATTTTGTATGCCACACGTTGCTTTCAAATGATTTAAAACAATAACAAGAGTAGGTGAAACCAGAAGAAAAAATAGAATTATATAATAAGTAAAATACGGTAATGAATCATCAACCATCAATCTGACCCTTTAAGAAAACGTTTGCTGATCCCTGTGCTATATAGTATTTTTCTCAAGGCCAAAAAGCTCCATTAGCTTTATAAGAACCAGCAAAAATGTAGAAACTTAATGTAAAAAGTTATCAAGCACATATAATATTGACCATTGGTCATAGAACATCTCCTCTTGGCACATTTTTTTTTCATCTGTTAATTTAACTGCAACTGAGTGTCTAACTCAGTCACCTTAACTTGTTCAAATATATTAGAAAATTATTTTTAGGCATTTCTAAGGCTTATTAATTTCCTGTCATATGCAGGACTATCAGAACATATATAAAGTATTTAATAGACAATTTTATTAACTTAATTTTTTTCTGTTACAACTAGCTGCTATATATTGTGGATAAAACAGTAGCTAGTGTTTATAAAATAATTACATCACAAATTTTTAAAAGCACTTCACAAGTGTCAACAGAAGCGTTACCATTCTAAGGCAAAACTAACAAACAAAACTATATGATGTAGGTACCATCCTATTATTATCCCCATTATTCAGAGGTAGAAACTGAGAAGAAGCGATTGGCCTTCATCCAGAGAGGCACAGTGATTTGTGACACGGTTATGAATACTTAATGGAGTAAATTGTACTTGAATCTCAATGATGGACGTATCTACTTATCCCCTCAGTATGCAAATGATCCAAAGTAATATTTTAAAAAATTAAGTGTGTTAAATTAAACTTTTCTAAAAACCCAGATTTCCTTAAAAAAAATTTTTTTTATAAACAATTCTGCATTTCCAGAATTTGAATAGGTCTTAAGTTATGATTACTTTAAAAGTGCAAATATAAATATATCTTTGTGTAAATTGTAATGCAAATACTTTCCATGTATAATTATACTTTTAAAATAGATGAGGAAATTGAAGCATATGCTCACAAATCACAGCAGAACAAGAAAAAATTTTAAATCGTGATGATAAAATAATGCTGAGATTTCTTCTAAATTATTCCAAGGAAGCAGTGATGTGTAGAAAGAACATTGCTATTTGGAGTTATGCGACAGTGAAAATTCCTGATTTGCCATCCTTAAGAGATTTAGAAGAGCATATGTAATACAGTCAAACTCTGAGGGCCTCAGCTTTTTACAGAATCTTTGTAGGATGCAGAGCAAAAGCCTTGGGCTAGGCGTACAGGCTCGGGCCTGTAATCCCCACACGTGGCGGGGCTGAGGGGGCAGATCACTTGAAATCAGGTGTTCGAGACCAGCCTGGCCAACATGGTGAAACCATGTCTCTAAAAATACAAAAATTAGCCAAGTGTGGTGGTGTATGCCTGTAATCCCTGCTGCTCTGGAGAATAAGGTAGAGGAATTGCTTGACCCTGGGAGGAGGACGTTGCAGTGAGCAGAGACAGCACTATGGCTCTCAAGCCTGGGAATTGGAGCCAAAACAACAACAACAACAGCAGCAAAAACTAGCCTTCATATATGATTATGTCCCAGGTCTAATTCTGTGTGTTCTACTTTGATTGACTTATTTGACCATTCATAATATTTACTTCACAAATTTTTTTCATTTACTAATTTAAATCAAACAAAAATTGTTTTTACTCCATTAGTAGATTTCAGCACAAGGCACATGTAAAGTCTCAAAACTCCTAAGTAACAGAGCTGGATTTAAACTCTGATCATCCAGCTGTAGAGTAAATGATCTTAAATTTTTTTTAAATGGAGATTGACAAAGTATTACAATTCAGCAAATAATGGTAATCATTATAGACATGTAAGTATATATCCTTTGTTTTACATAAAACCAAAGGGAAAGATACCTCTCTTCACTCATTGATTTTTATTATTATTATTATTGTACTTTAGGTTCTGGTGTACATATGCAGATCATGCAGAATTGTTGCATAGGTATATACATGGAAAGGTGATTTGCTGCCTCCATCCCCCCATCACCTGGGATTTCTACCCACATTACCCCTCCACATCCTCACCACTCCCCGCTGTCTTTCCCCAGTACCCCCTAACAGACCCCAGTGTGTGATACTTCCCTCCCTTTATCCACGTGTTCTCATTGTTCAACACCCGCCAATGAGTGAGAACATGCAGCATTTGATTTTCTGTTCTTTTGTCAGTTTGCTGAGAATGATGGTTTCCACATTCATCCGTGTCCCAACAAAGGACACGAACTCATCCTTTTTTATGGCTCTATAGTATTCCATGGTATATATGTGCCACATTTTCTTTGTTCAGTCTATCATTGATGGGCATTTGGGTTGGTTCCAGGTCTTTGCTATTGTAAACAGTGCAGCGATGAACATATGCGTGCATGTGTCCTTATGATAGAACAATGTATAGTCCTTTGGGTATATACCCAGTAATGGGATTGCTGAGTCAAATGGATTTTCTATTTCTAGATCCTTGACGAATTGCCACACTGTCTTCCACAATGGTTGAACTAATTTACACTCCCACCCAGTGTAAAAGTGTTCCTGTTTCTCCACATCCTCTCCAGCACCTGTCGTCTCCAGATTTTTTAATGATCACTGTGCTAACTGGCATGAGATGGTATCTCAGTGTGGTTTTGATTTGCATTTCTCTAATGACTAGTGATGATGAGCATTTTTTCATATGTTTGTTGGCTTCATATATGTCTTCTTTTGAAAAGTGTCTGCTTATATCATTTGCCCACTTTTGGATGGGCTTGTTTGTTTGTTTCCTGTAAATCTATTTTAGTTATTTGTAGATTCTGGATATTAACCCTTTGTCAAATGGTTAGACTACAAAAATTTTTTCCCATTCTGTTGGTTGCTGGTTCACTCTAATGATTGTTTCTTTTGCTGTACAGAAGCTCTGAAATTTCTTTAAATTCCATTTGTCTATTTTGGCTTTTGCTGCCAATGCTTTTGGTGTTTTAGTCATGAAGTCCTTGCCTATGCCTATGTCCTGAATGGTTTTACCTAGG